ATGGCCACCAGAGGGATTTATCAATTTGGATTGGTCGAATCAGAGACAAATACATGTATGTGTGTATATATGTCTCTGGTGGATTTTTCATTTTTTTCCTCTAAAACTACATTGCCATTTATTTCAAACATATGATAATAGGAATAATGACTAAGACCATCTACCAAAATTTCTTATTTGGTGCCGATTGGATGGCTACTGTGGCACATCGCTTTTCATCTAGCTGTGCATTTTCATCGTCTCCTCTGAAACCAGATATTTACCAAGAATTATATCCCTACTAGTAAGACAAAGATGTGAACTGCATTGGTCTTTCCCCTCTGTCATAAATCTTTTGTAGATTACTCCATCTTCATCCTTTGATTTGATGGATGTTCATATTTTGTATGATGACTAGCCACCAAATTAACATGATCTTATCTAATGTGGTATATTATACAAGTTTTGTGTAAACAGCTTCTCTGTTTGATTATTTTTTTCAAATTTTTCATGATAACACTTGTCATTTATAAGAATATCAGGAAAACCCTCTACAAAAATTCCTCATTTCATACTAATAAGTGTAATTGTCCTATTATAAAATAATTTAAAGCTTGTGACTATATATGTCGATCTTGAAATAAAGGATACAACAGATACAGTTAAGTCTGTCTCATATCTTGGTTTACATCTAGAAATTGACAATGAAGGTCAGTTGAGAACAAACTTTACAGAACAAGCTTGCTGTTCGGTGTGAGCCAATGGTCCGTGTTGAAGGCCGTACTTTGACCTTTAATGGTTTACTTTTACAAATTGTGACTTGGATGGAGAGTTGTGTCATTGGCACTCATATCACATCTTCTTATATCTATTCACGACAAAAGAGATGTTTCAGATTCCCAATTGTGAACTTTCCATTTCTAAGTAGCAACATAACAGGAGCACCTGCATATTGAGTATATATCTCCCAGTTGAAACGATATACAAGGGCTTGCATTTCCTACCATGACTTTCTTGATAGAGGGTTGCTACTCATAAGGAAGCTATTAAACCCAGAGTTCCAAGTGATTAAGTTGAAATCATTCCTTCGAATGTTTTATGGTAGGGTTCGTGTTTCTCAATCTTTAATTCTTATGTTGTGTTTTGTGTACTGTTATTTGTCTTTTGATCTTTTTCCTTTTATCACATGGCGTTGTCAGTTATTTCCGACTTATAAGTTTTAATGTCCCTTTGGTATCTTTCGCCTCCCTTTTAAGATCTATTGACCCCCCCCCCCCCCCCCCCCCAATAGAAAATTGGATTAATACTTAGGTTATGATAGATACCTAAATAAAAATAAGATGTATGAATTCTGGCTTCCTAGCAAGGTCACAGCAATGACACCATGACTTACATAGATTGCTGCAGGCCTTATGAATGAACTGGGGATGAAGAGGATAAGCAAGTAGGTATATCTCAGAGGAGACATTACAATTCCATCGTGATTTTCACTTGCTATTTACACCATATATCTAGCTAAACACCACATTATTATACCATTTTCTTCAAGAAGGTTCCACTATCAAGATGCGATAATCACTATCACTATAATAAAAGGATGGCATATAAAAAATACAAAAACAAAGCAACTTGGGAATCCTATAGACAACAAAGAAATTTGGTAACAAAAAAAAAAGAACCATATTTCATGGAAAGATGTGTATAAGATCCAAACAGCAAAGATTTTTGGCAACAATCAATATGAAAATAAGAAGATGTGGTATAATTGGCAATGAGACAACTCTCCACCAGTGGCCAAATGACATAGAAGTTAACAACTATAGGTCACCGGACTGTCTTCAACAATGAGCAATACCCACACCGCCTAGTCAGCTATAAAAGGCCCCGAAATGACAAATGTAAAACAATTCAAACCAGAAGACAAGCCTTTCTTAACTTATGATTTGTCACATTTTTCGAAAAACATAATCTTATGCATGTTATGTGTAGACAACAAAATAATTAACAATCAAATTGAAGTTGATGAAATATTTGATATTTTTTTTATAAATGTTGCCATCCATCTACATCAAACCCCCTTGTTTTATTAATTTCGTATTTACATTGTGTCATAGATCAAATTTATTCGTTCAGTGTATGTTCACTTGTTTTTGTTGATATGTCTTTTGATTGAGTTAAGCCATTTCAATTGATATTTTATAGTGTGTCTTTCTATGTTGTGATGTTACACTATTGTTTCAGGTAGGGTGAAGGTTGGCGCCTATTAAAACGCTAAACCCGCTGCATTTGTTTGCACCTATCCTAAGTCAGGAACCTGATGTTCAGTGGTTGTCGTTTGTTGATGTGGTTCATAAGTGTTTCCCGTTTCTCGTTTTTTATATTGATTAGACTGTTGGTTTTCCTGTTTCAATGGTTTTACACTAGTCATTTTGGGGCCCTTTGTAGCTTTCTGTTCGGTGTGAGCCAAGACTCCGTGTTGAAGGCCGTACTTTGACCTATAATGGTTTACTTTTACAAATTGTGACTTGGATGGAGAGTTGTCTCATTGGCACTCATACCACGTCTTCTTATATCTATCCATGCAAGCATTAAAGAAAACAAAAATTTAGCCCAGTAAATTCTGAGTTGATAAAAAAAATCATCAACATTAATATTAAAAAGGGAACGGGAAAAGATGGAATTTCTTAATAATTATTACAACTATATGAATCTGAAAAAGCGCCCGGGGAAAAGAAAAAGCGCCCGGGGAAGAAAAAAAGCGCCCGGGAGAATAAAATAATAATATTTTATAACAATAAATATTTTTCTGAATATAAAAAAATAATCATTGCTTGTTTTGTCCTTAATATAAATGGGGATATGTACGATGCTACATCTAAAGTGTGTAGATAGTGTTGTTGCACTTTTACATTTTAGATTTCAAAATTGTATATAAGTAAGTAAATATAAACAAGAGTATATAGAAGAATCATGAACGATATTGTCCTCGATCAAAACGTATATTTCGTTATTTAAAAAAAAAATCAGTGCCCGAGGTCTAATATTCGCAACTGCATGGTGAACCGCTGACTTTTCAAAGTTTTGTATTTTATTAAACACACTTGAATTGACGGTGGAAGATCGTGGAAGGGTTTCAACATGCCTGCCACTAAGAAAAGAAAAGCTAAAGCAAATATGATATTCTGGCCTTGTGGAATATGCCGTAAAAATTGTAAAATTGCAAGCATCTGCTGCGACAATTGTGATACGTGGTACCATCTACGATGTGAAGAGCTGGAATAGGCAGACATTGAGATGTTCCTCACAGACAAAAATGTGAATTATTCATGCAAAGGGTATTTTTCCCATGACCAGTCAGATGAAAACACATACACATCAGCTTTATTACGATTGACAGGGGTGAGATTTGTAATATATAATATAAATAATAGAAAGAAAATAATTAAACTTTTTGTTCAGCCAAAAGGTACGCTTATGGAATTTTAATATTTCATTATTCTACCCCCGTTTTCATTTTTAACAATCATATATAATAAGATAAGACTAATTAACAATCGTTAACGGTACAGGTTACAATACACCATTAGATTTTATGGGCGCAACATGGTATTCAGAATTAAGAGTATAGCTAATCCTGATTGGTTGATGTGTGCGCCCGTTATTTTTTGTTATTAGAGACTTCGTGCATTCTGCATTATACCAAAGGCCAAATAAATTATTTTCCTTAGCCCTAACGGAACTGAGATGTCTTTTAAACGCTAGGATGAGACACGTATTTTTAAGTGCAAAATTGATAGGCATGGGAGATAAGTACAAATTACGCTAAGAAAAGCAACGCGAACCTATATTTTTTGGACCAAAAAATACTGTCCTAATATAACTTTTCTTTAATTCTAGCAAGGTTTCGTTAAAAAAATCAACTTTCTGAAGTCTGTATCTCGAAAAAGGCTATCATTGTCGCCTATGGGGAAATTAATTGTTTATTTCAATCTACACACGACACGCTGATTACGGTAATCCGATTAACCACAATCGTTAATATACAAAACCATTTGTGTGTATTTCATATCTGGTATTTATAAAGAAATTGATTACTTTCAGGCTGGTGAAAAGGGATTTAATTACCTACAATTTTGCAGGAAAAGGGAAAAGGGAATGCTACCCGGGCACAATCACTGAATCTGCATGAGTACAGCGAAGAGAAGTTGGCGGTATACTCGGTCTGCTTGGACCATGCTACATCTAAACCAAACTCCTGCTTTTTACCCCCTTGTTTTAACTACGGTACATGTATGGTACTGCTTTATTTGCTGATTTATTTTAATTTTTTTTATAAAACCAAAACTGTTTAAATCGCGGCATGCGATTTGTAATGCTTATCGGTGATTCAATGTTATTTGTTTTATACCAAACACCTGCTTTTAACATGCATAGTATAATTGTGTTATTTGCTGATGCTGATATACATGTGCGTTTCAATTTTATCGTTCTTAAATAATGTGTAACTCTTTTAATTTTATAAAATTAATATTAATCTGTGAAATTTTAGTTGTTTTTGCATTTTTCATTTTGATATCGTTTTTGAAAAACATGTCTTTTGATGTCTAACATTTTATAAATCTTCAGCATAAACTGTGATCCATTATTATCTGTCTTTCGAAATAGTAATCATATATTATTGTTAAAATTGAAACATTCATACTTGTTTTTGTGCTTTATTACAAATGTCTATTATCTGAATTTGCAAAATACTTGTCTAAAATTAAAAAAAAATCAATGTGCATAACTTATTTCATCGACACAAAGTTGTCTAATGCCGATACAATATCTATATATTTTCCCCGGGCGCCTTTTCTTTTCCGCGGGCGCTTTTTTTTCCTTCTTCCCCGGGCGCTTTTTCTTCACCTGGGCGCTCCCGGGCGCTTTTAAGTAGGACCCACCAGCATAAACAAAATATGCGGTGTTCCTATGACAAGGAGCCCCATACTTCATGTACACATACAAACCGGTAAATACAAAATAAGAAATCAAGCGGAAAAATGGTTTCACCGGGGAAAATAGGATATTGTCTGGTTTGCGTTGGGATTATTGTATATGGAATTTGGGACTACTTATCTAATTTTGAGCAGAATAAATGTCTAATGACATACATGTTTGAAATGCCAGAATACATCGTAAGAGTCATGAGGACAGTATCTACTGGGAATATATAAATTAGAAGATGGTGTATTGGACTTGCCGGCCTTCTTTTACGTTAGGGGTCTCAACCCATATAGAGCTATACTAAACTATCCTTAACGTTAACATTAACCTTACCCTAACCCATACCCAAATCTATCACTAGCTCTTAAAGTCTTCATGAGGGGGTGGACAGGGGGGTACCCTTCTCCAACCTCCCGCCCCCTATCTCCCACCTCCCACTTTCAGAATTTTTTTTCTCTCCCACCTATTTTTTGTCTCCCACCTCCACCACCTCCCTCAAAAATTGTCCACTCCCTCCTTCATCTAATCATCTTAAAATTGCCCCGGACTCAGAGTCCCAAAAGTAATTACTCTTCACCAGAGCCCAAATGACGTCTACAGAAGTTAGCAACTAAAGGTCACCCTACAGCCTTCAAAAATGAGCAAAATCCATACCGCATAGCAATCTATAAACTTACCTTACCCTAACCCATACCTAATCCTAGTTCTAACCTTATAACAGCTAACTCCTAACTAGTACACCTTATCGCTATTTGTCCGCCATTACTGGACATCTCAAAGGTTCTTGACATCATAATAGAAAATATCTGACACCACAATGGAAAAGTGTTTGTTGTATGACGTCAATGATTCAAGAGGCACAGATTCTCGGGTCAAGCGGCGCAGATTTCCAAATAGCGATAAGGTCTACAAACATCCCCTAACCTAACCATAAATAAACCCATCAATCCTAAAGTACAGGGACCTCTAAAGTGAAAGAAGGCCTTTTTTCCCCAAAAATATTGTAAAAATGTAGGGAATAAAGGATTGAATCTAGGGGTTATTTTTTAGGTTGATAAGGGAGGTAAATGCATTTAATTTTGTGAGAGTACCTCGGAATATTACCTGAGCCACCAAGACCCAGTTCACCAAAGAAATCTTAGAAAATACAAAAATACTCATTGAGTTTTGAACAGCATAGAAATGAAAAACATTTGAAACGTTTAAACCTGCTGCAATTGTTTGCACCTGTCCTAGGTCAGGAATCTGATGTTCAGTAGTTGTCGTTTTTTGATGTGGTTCATAAGTGTTTCTCGTTTTCGTTTTTTATATAGATTAGACCGTTGGTTTTCCCGTTTGAATGGTTTTACACTAGTAATTTTTGGGGCCCTTTATAGCTTGCTGTTCGGTGTGAGCCAATTAAGGCTCAGTGTTGAAGACCATACTTTGACCTATATTGGTTTACTTTTATAAATTTTGATTTGGATGGGGAGTTGTTTCATTGGCACTCATACCACATCTTCTTATATCTAATTACTAGATTTAGGATTCTATCTTGTTTAGGTGTTCTATTTGATCTTGATTGTCGACAGGTTCACAACACTGTTTTATCCATTTGTAACCCATAAATCGGTTATATATGCATTTTTTACAACTTAATTGTGCTTTTAAGGAGCACATTCACCACAATTAGCAGATTAATTTTAAGACACCAAAGACGAAAAAAACTACCGAAACTAGATTAATTTTCTAATGGAAATATCGACATGTAGCGCTTTTTCATTCTTTTGTGTTTTTCAATGGCGCCAGATACACGTAACATATAAAAAGGATAAAGCATCTTTATATTTTAAAAAAATTTAACCAATACTACATACATGGATATGTTCAGCAAAGATGCAAAACAAGATTAACAAGTATAAAAATAAGGAGATGTGGTATGAATGCCAATGAGACAACTATCCACCAAAGTTCAAATGAAGTGGATGTAAGCAATTATAGGCAGCCGTACAACCTTTAAAAATGAAAAAAAACCCATACCGTATAGTCGGCTTAGCCGCTATAAAAGGCCCCGACATCAGAAACAAATTCAATTGAAAAAACTAACGTCCTAATTTATAACAAAACAATTTACGAAAAACAAATATGACAGACATGAACCAACGACAACCACTGATCAACAGGCTCCTGACTTGGGACAGGCACAGAAAGAATGTGGCGGGGTTAAACATGTTAAGTATGTTTACTAACTAGTTTCTACCTTTTTAAAATAGTTTTTAGTAAATACTTGCTACATCTTTGAATAAATCGTCTAAATAGACATAAAAGCTGTAGTTATTCATGCTAGAGATGATGTCCTCTCACTGAATAGTTTAAAGTTTGGTGGCTATATTGGTTGCATATATATATCACATTCAACTTGAAATAAAGGATATCATAGATACAGATAACTGACCAGACGTTTTGCAGTCAGTGCAGACAAATTGTATAGCTCATTCTGCAACTAATACACTCTCATGCTGGTCTCACTTTAAATCTTTAGACTACTGATTTACTATGCAATTATAGCCGCATTTCTACTTAGTACGAAAGAAGTTGAGCATGTGTTTATTTCAGGTCAAACTTATCAAAACCAGTATTTTAAAATCAAATAAATGTTGTTATGTATACTTTATGATTTTTGTCTCGCCTTGACAGAGTCAAAAAGCGAGACATAGGTATGCTGTTACCGGCGTCGGCGGTGGCGCCGTCAACAATGTATTAGTTTGTGATTAGGTCTAGTTTATGGTGAACCACTAGTTGTAGGTAAATGATATTTGGTATGTAGTTGTATTAGCATTGGCACATCTCATTACCATGCAGATTATTTGGCCCTGCCCCCTCAGTCATCGTCTATTGACTTCTAAACTTTGTTTTACATGTATTAGTTTGTGATTAAGTCAGTTTATGGGGAACCACTAGTGTTAGGTCAATGATGTTTCGTACATTTGTATGCAGTTTTATTACCAATTACACATCCCATTTCCATGGAGATTATTTGGCCCCTCCCCCTCACTCAAGTTCTATTGACTTTGAAACTTTTGCTTAGTTTACATGTATTAGTTTGTGATTAGGTCAGTTTATGGGGAACCACTAGTGGTAGGTCAATATTTGGTATGCAGTATTATTAGCATTGGCGCATCTCATTTCCATGGAGATTGTTTGGCCCTGTTCCTTCAGTCATGGTCCATTGACTTTGAATATTTTGTATAACTTACATGTTAAAATATTGCTTTTTTAAGGTAGCACAATACAAAGATTGTGTCACCCCCAATCAGACAACTTTAAACTGATGTAATTTCTTTCATCCAGCTTTAAATTTTATAAATGAGGTACCAAAAGAAAGGAGAAAGATTAATCTTTCAAATGGTGAAAACGTCAATTTGACATAATTATTACATAACTAATTATTATGTAATTAGTTGCTATATTGAGATGTCCACACTTGAATGAAATTAGCTTCTTTGGTATTCATAGCATCCCAAAATATTTTATAGATTGTTGTATAATACAGTTTGACCTCCAAAAGGGTGTCTCAGATTTTTCCTATTGTATTTCATTCTCTCATAAACCTTCAATTAAGTTTGCAACCTAAATTCATAAGAGATCACTAAATTTAATTGGGTATAAAATTTGTTCTATTGATGTTTTTGGAAATCTGAGACACTCTTTTGAAGATAACTGGTCAAGGAACAACATGTGTGAAAATCAGGTGTATAGGGGCACCCATCTAGGAGCTAAATTCATTTAAAACTACATTTTCATGACAAAAATGAATGTGTCACAATTGAATAAATAGGGATTTTCCTACTTGTACCCCATTAACTTCAATATAATTCACACATGTACCATTTGGATATTTCAGGATTGGCCTTCAATCATAAATCAATTAGGTTTTGACCAGTAAGAAAGCATTCAATTTCAGCAGTTCTAAATATATAGAGAAAATGCACACCCCATGCATCAAAAACCAGATCTGGCGGGAGATGTTATATCATTATTGACCTTGTTGTAAGTCAGTTGCTACTGATATGGTCAAAACTCCGCCCACCATGATAAACCTTTACTTCTAATGATCACAGAAGTTTAATTACACATTGCATTTACTTTTTTCAATATGGATTTTATTCATTTAGTACATAACATAATATATTTTGTTTTTTTATTGTTACAAAAAGTAAGTTATGCATGTGTACACAAAATTATCAGTTGGTCAGTTTAGAGGATCCTTATGGGGGATTTTTAGAATTGTAATTGTATAAAAGGACAATATGGTGTTTTACACCAAGTAGATTTTTTTCAACTTTGCAGTTTGAAAATGAAATATTTAATTTGTATTGTCTTTTAAAAAGAATTCATATTTAAACATTCTCCCCCAAGCAATTCTAGTACATTAATTGTTATACAATTACATTTGTTTAATTTCTGTACATTTATATTTTGATTACCTCTATATCTCCAAATTGTTCTTTTGTTTTTTTTCTCCTGGCAGCTCCATTAATGAAATGTATTTTTATTTGGAATTCATTATCTTCATTTTTCCATTAATCCCTAATCCACCTCTTTTTCGTAACTGTTATTGGTATTGCTGGTCAGTGGTCATAAAGCTATCAAATGATTCTTTTGATTAACCACAAAGTACTGCCCACATGTTCTTATCTTGTATCAGTCAAATACGTGCATTTGTTTATAAAACTAATTAACAGTGCAAGATATGTAAATAAATTTTTCTTCTGTGGTTTTTGTTGAGCCTGCGACTTTTGTCGCAGAAAGCTCGATATAGGGATAGTGATCTGGCGTCGGCGTTAGCTAACTTCTTAAAAGCTTTATATTTTAGAAGGTGGAAGATCTGGATGCTTCAAACTTTGTATATGGATGCCTCATGTTACGAAGTTTCCGTCAATCACATGTCCAATGTCCTTGACCTCATTTTCATGGTTCAGTGACTACTTGAAAAAAAAGTTAAGATTTTTTGTAATGTTAAATTCTCTCTTATTATAAGTAATAGGATAACTATATTTGGTATGTGCGTACCTTGCAAGGTCCTCATGCCCGTCAGACAGTTTTCACTTGACCTCGACCTCATTTCATGGATCAGTTAACAAGGTTAAGTTTTGGTGGTCAAGTCCATATCTCAGATACTATAAGCAATAGGTCTTGTATATTCGGTGTATGGAAGGACTGTAAGGTGTACATGTCCAACTGGCAGGTGTCATCTGACCTTGACCTCATTTTCATGGTTCAGTGGTTATAGTTAAGTTTTTGTGTTTTGGTCTGTTTTTCTTATACTGTATGCAATAGGTCTACTATATTTGGTGTATGGAATGATTGTAAGGTGTACATGTCTAGCTGGCAGGTGTCATATGACCTTGACCTCGTTTTCATGGTTCAGTGGTCAAAGTTAAGTTTTTGAGTTTTGGTCTTTTTTTCTAATACTATATGCAATAGGTCAACTATATTTGGTGTATGGAAATATTTTATGATCTATATGTCAGTTGAGCAGGTTTTATATGACCTTGACCTCATTTTCACGGTTCATTGCTCAGTGTTAAGTTTTTGTGTTTTGGTCTGCTTTTCTTAAACTATAAGCAATAGGTCAACTATATTTGTTATATGGAAGAATTGTTCACTGTACATGTCTGCCTGGCATGGTTCATCTGACCTTGACCTCATTTTCATGGTTCATTGGTCAATGTTTAGTTTTCTTGGTTAATGTTAAGTTTATGTGACAGTTGTAATAAAGCTTTATATTTAGGACTATCAACATAATATCAATGATTAGTAAAGAAGGCGAGACATTTCAGTGTGTGCACTCTTATGGAATATTAAGAAGTAACAAAAACAGCTGAAAATAAAATTTTGATAAAATTTAGTTGCTTTTGTATTGTGCTACCTTAATTTCAACATTTGCATTTTGCTGTCAAAATAACAAAAAGGAGAGACATATCATCTGTGTTAAAAATTTATTTATAGTAAAAATGTTGTGTAATTTTACAATAGAAATAATAAGAAAGATTCCAGGTCAAGTAGCTAGTGATTCTTCCTCAGTTATCGTACAAAGTTTAAATTAAATGACTTCTCAAGACTAATGAAATTAATTCACATCTAAAGAATGGTAGATTGAACAATTTAGCTAAAAGCTACAGAATAATTAACTAATATCATGAATATTTTGAGCTTTACATAAGCAGATTATCATTTTAATTCAATGACGGTAAAAATTGTACTAAACAAGCTTGGAAGTTATTTCCCAAAAATGATGTTACATTATTAGTCCCCTAAAACGAAGTCGAAGGGGACTTTAGGTTTGCACTCCGTCCCTCTGTCTGTCTGTCTGTCTGTCCATCTGTCAGTCCGGCAAATCAGTTTTCCAGATTTTTTTTCTTCGTGCTTGAAGATATTGATTTGATATTTGGTTTATTGATTTATCATGACAAGTTACAGGTCAAGTTCAATTTTCACGATTTTAGCTTTTCTCTTTGTTCAGTTAAAGCCCTTTCCCTAGAATTAAATTTTTGATGAAATACTTATTAATTAGTAGATTTCTGTTCAAAGGGAAATAACTCATTTTTTAAAAGACAAAATGACATTTTGGATTTTTTCCTTTTCTTTGGTAAATCATTCGAAGAATTTAGTGGTAGGTCTTGAAGATATTGATTTGATAATTAGTATATAGTTTTATCATGACAAGTTACAGATCAAATTGGAATTTTGTTCCAGTCTGATAATTTTGTGCAGAGTTATGGTCTTTGGACATAGATAATTCACTTAAATAATCAGTTTTCAACAGTTTTTTTCGTCATGCTTGAAGATTTTGACTTGATATTTTATGTAGTTTACACTATGACAAGTTATCGATCAACTTAGAATTTCGTTCCATTACAATGAATTTGTAACCGGTAGGGAACTATGTATTGCAATACTCACAAAATGCTTGTTTTACGGTATGTTCATCATTTTATATCCATATATTTGGTAATATATTGACAGAGATGCAATTTAATTCTTTCCTTAAACCTGAGCACTGAAGAAAAAAGAAAACAAAAACAAAAGAACACACAATGAGAGGGAAAAAAAATGGTGAGTCCAGCTTCATTTCCTCCTGAGTCAAGGACTCATCTTTGTGACAATCCTACATGATTCTATCTGTCTTTTATTTCCAGCAACTACCATTGGGAAAGAGACTGAAGGAAAACTATCCAAGATACAGACTGTTTATCTATGGTGAAGGGTAGGTAGATTTGTTCACTGCTTCGACAGTGTCAACCGTTGATATAAGAAAAAGGAAATTTGCGACAATGAATTTGCAACCAAAAATATAATAACTGCAAAATATATTGAGAGGTCAACATTGTTATCATAAGTATCCAGTTGTCTGTTTACCAAAGAAGTTATATTATGAGTACATATTAACACTACCTCAGCCCATGTCTATGTATTTTTAAGTGGAAGCAGATTTACACAAGCTGTCTTTGTCATGTTTAGTTTTTTTAGGCAGTAATGTACTGGTAAATTTACTGCCTTGGTCATGTTATATAAGTTAAAGGAGATGTGTAAATTGTAATATACATCAACTTAAAAGCAACCCGTGAATGCAAAAAAAAAGGATCTAAGAGCCATCTAGTGGTCAACTAACAGTCCTCAGTAGATAAGTGTCTATACTATATAATACTGTAGCTTAGGGCTGTCATGACCTTGCAGTAAGGTGAGAGCTTTATTTCAAACTGAAGCCTCATTGTAACAATAAGATTACCAATAAACTCTATGCACTTTGCTTTTGGGCGACTAAAGTCGCAGTAGGCAGGGATTACTATCCGGCGGCGGCGATTTAAATTTCAGAAGGTAAAAGACCTGGATGGTTCATACCTTGTATGCAGATATATGTGGTGTGTGGAATGATTTTTAAGGGGTACATGTCAGTCTGGCAGGTTTCATCTGACCTTCACCTCATTTTCACTGTGGAATGAATTTATCTTACCAACTATTTAATTTGGGGAATTTAGACGTAGTTGTAAAAAAATAAAATAAATATTTTTAGTTGTTATATATTAAAAAGAAGATGTGGTATGATTGCCAATGAGACAACTCTCCACAAGAGACCAAATGACTTAGAAATTAACAACTATAGGTCACAGTATGGCCTTCAACAATGAGCAAAGCCCATACCGCACAGTCAGCTATAAAAGGCCCCGAAATGACAATATAAAACAATTCAAACGAGAAAACTAACAGCCTAATTTATGTACAGAAAATGAATGAAAAACAAATATGTAACACATAAACAAACGACAACCACTGAATTACAGGCTCCTGACTTGGGACAGGCACATACATACATAACGTGGCGGGGTTAAACATGTTAGCGGGATCCCAACACTCCCCCAAACCTGGGACAGTGGTGTAACAGTACAACATAAGAACGAACTATAAAAATCAGTTGAAAGAGGCTTAACTCATCAGATGGATAAAAATACAAATACTACAAATACAAGTGGACGTGGCCGGGTACTTGTATATCCAAACAACAAAAAGACACTAAGTACAGATCTGAGAGTACTCGCAGTTACTGACAGCTAGTTCAAAGCCACTAACAACTAATAAAAAAAATCATGCATCTAAGACTAAATTATCAATCCGTACACATCCCACATCCAATGGATTTAGTGTAAAGACGTCATAAACAGTCAGAGAAAAACATGACCTTGTGCAATGCCAAGATACAGGTATCGACAGATTGTAGATCCATGAATGTGTATATGTATTTAACAATAATATTTAGTTTGCTTTTAATTTACTTATAACAAAATCAATATTAGTACCAATAAAAACAATATTTAATGATCTAATTACTGTGTTGAGTTGGTAACCTTTTAGAATAAGTTTATTTAAAGGATCGTTTCTAAATTTCCGGGCACGGTAAACAATATTGCCGTAAAAATGAGGAGGTGCAATACTGTTTGAAATAAGTTTTATGCAGGTACAACCAAACTTAAAAACCAAATCTTTATATCTGTGGAAGAATTTAGTAAAGGTTCTAAATAATTTGTGGTAACGAAATCCCTGGCTTAATAATTTACCAGTAATACATAGATTACGTTCGTTAAAATCAAAAACGTCACAACAGACATGGGCATAGCGAACGAGTTGTGAAATATAAACACCGTAAGATGGTGCCAAAGGAACATCACCATCCAAAAAGGGAAAATTAACAATAGGGAATGAAAAATCGTCCCTTTTATCGTAAATTTTAGTGTGGAGTTTCCCGTGTAAAACCAAAATATCTAAATCTAGGAAAGGACAGTTGTTACTGTTTGAATTTAATTTATTTAAAGTAAGTTCCTTTGGGTAAATTTCGGCAGTATATTGAGAAAATTCTTTCTTTTATATAGTGATCAATATAAATGAAAGTCAGTGTCTTATGTTTTATTCTTAAAGTTTGAAAAATTATAATTATTTATGTTTAATACAATGAATGTTAATTTGAGAATAATTCCTTATAACTCTACCACTAACTACTACTAACTGCTACTAACCACATATTTAGAATAAACCACGCCCACTGACATAATATAAAATATACAAGGTTCCCACACTTTGCTTTTAACCAATGATATTCCTAGGAGTTTATAGGAGGTAAGATTAATATATATATTATTATGATCCGTTTATTTGGCAATCGCCAATGGCAGTCAGCAGGGTTTAAGAACATCAGTTGTTCGACCTGCTAGTCAAATGCGTTTTGTTAAAATATACCTTTTCACTTTTTTGGTCTTTTGGAAAATGTTGTTTGTGCTGTATTTAGACCCCTCTACCAAGAAATTTGTTTTGCATGCACACATATAAAAATTGCGGTTTTTATCCAACGCAATCATAGGTTTGAACGTTGTTTTCAATTTAGACTTGTTTATTATTATGATTTTGATACTCTTCATTCCAACATTCCAATAGCTATATTAATTTATATTGTTTTTTTTCTTAATTTTAGCCAGTATGCAAGAAAATTAGAATCAAAGAGGTGAGAATTTTAATTAATTATAAATATTAATGTGAAAGCAGTTATAACAATAGATACTGGAATACTCAAGGAATTAAAAGACCAAAGAGACCTAAAGGAATAGCTATATTTACCTAAGGTCAACTTTGCCTGAGTTAGTTCTATTTAGAAAAGGATCATATACATTTTTACTGGTATTACTCAAAAAGTGTTTTTCCCTAAGAACCCAAAATGCATATATGTCCTGTTAAAAACATTGAAGATTATATAAAGGATAATTACAGGTATTTTAAAAGATATAAAAATGTATTCTTTTTAAAAAAGCTAGAAATCCTATAGATAAAGGTAATTTACAGTATCATCTCCACTGGAAATTGGGTACCAACAGAGCGGAGAGAAAAGAAAAATAAATAAACCAGGTAAGAATTCCTTTAAATTACCAGTATACCATTTCTACTGTTTTGATGAGGTTATCACTTATGAAACGATTTTCTAATATATGAAGCTTCAATTTTTTTTATGCCAACAAGTAGCAAGCAAAGACAAGATTTTGTGCTATACTCAAAAACCGTGCACTTGGTACTAGATAATTTTGAGGTCAATTTACCCTCCGTCACCCTGTTGGACAGATAATCAACTGTTTTCCATTCTTTTTCCAGACAAATTTTTAGATTATGATAGTGTGACTTCATATTAACTGAAATTCGCTATCAAAAAGATGTTTTCTAAAGAATATGAACCAAAACAGTTTTTATTTATTGTACAGCGAATTGCAAAATAAGAACTTGTTTTCTGTATGGCGTCTTGCCATTGTATATTGTAATATAGAGATGATATTAATCACTATATAGATAAAAACAAGGGGTGATATCATGGATATGGTCACATATCAATGCGCTACCAGCTTACAAATGTACGAAATAAAGTACATAGCAAAAATGTCATAAAATATTTGTAATTAATTTCATTCAGATGTCATCATTGGACCCTTATAAGTTGTGTTTTGAAAGACAAAAATGGTTTCTTCAAACTAATCCTAAATGTATTTATATGTTGTTATACTACTAACATCTCTTGTTTTATTGGTTGTAAGGGCAAATTTTAAAAAATTCAATAAAACACCTACCATTCATCTTTCATTTGTCTTTTGTGGGGCTGGTTTTTATACAACCGCAAACAAATTTTGCGGTCGTATATTGGTATCACATCGTCGTCGTCGTCCAAAGACACTTGGATTCCGGACAATAACTTTAGTATTAGTTAATAGAATTCTATGAAATTTAAACACAAGGTTTATAACCACAAAAGGAAGGTTGGAATTTTGGGGGTTATGGTTTATCCTAACAGTTTAGGAATTAGGGGCCAAAAAAGGGGCCCAAATAAGCATTTTTGTAGTTTTCAGACAATAACTTGTGGAACAGTGTATGGATCTCTCTGAAATTGTACAACAAGTTTCCATACCACAAAGGGATGGTTAGAATTGCCTTGGGGGATAATGGCTCAAACCGTTTAGGAATTAGGGGCAAAAAAGGGGAAAAACAAGGGTTTCCTTGTTACTGGACAATCTCTTTTAAGTACAATGTTAAATTTGGATTACCTCCCTTACACTGCTTTAAAATTATGTATAATGAAATTTTGTATTGTCTGGAGGTGATTAGCTGTCAATTTATTTTTAGAAGTTACTAATAAAAATGCTGACTAAAGATATATTATTTTTAGACATGATTATGTATGTCATTTTCTAATTAAGACTTTTATGATGTATTTAAATGGGTAATTATGGTTGCAAACTCCATTGGAAATTTGAATTGAGATAATGACCATATCTTGAGGGAAAGATTTTTTTTTTTGGAAAAAGGGGAGGGGAGGGAAGGTGAAAAAAAAGGGGGGTGAAATTTTTATTTTTTTTTGGGGGGGGGAGGGTCAATTCGCAACAGCATAGTGTATTGCACAAAAGCAGAAAATTGAATATAAATTCAAATCATATAACCAATTCTAAGTTCTTTGACTACAGTTATTCTGTGTCAGAAACCTATTATGTGTCAAACATTTTATTTTAATCCAAATTCAGACCTGTATCAAGCACAAATATTGTGTCCATTTTTGCCCCAACTGTTCAAGGTTGGACCTCTGCGGTCGTATCCAGCTGCGCTCGGCAAAGCATTTTATTTTCTGAATTTAAATTTCTCAAATTACAGTATTGAAAAATAGCTTGTTTTTTTTTTATTGAAGTCGAAAAAAAAGTTTGTCATGAGAGAAAAATTATGCCCCTCAACAGATGAGCGGTCAGTGCCTGAAATATAATTCTTTAAAAAAAAGGAACCACCGGCTTAGAGGATTTAGTTCTTTTGTAGGACATTAAACATCCATCTTTTAAGGCAGACTTTAAATGTGTGGTAACAAAAGACAAATAGTCAGAGCTTGTGGTGTATGCTCAGTCATGTGTTTTTATACCACCGCAAAAAATTTATATTGGTTGACGTTGGCGTTGGCGTCGTCTTCGTCGTCATCGTCGTTGTCGTCCGAAGACATTGGTTTTCGCACAATAACTTTAGTTTAAGTGAATGAAATTATACGGTTCTATACCACAAAAGGAAGGTTAGGATTGATTTTGGGGGTTATGGTACCAACAGTTAAGGAATTAGGGGCCAAAAAGGGGCCAAAAATAAGCATTTTTGTAACTTCCAGACAATAACTTGTGTTTTAGTGTATGGATCTCTTTGAAATTATACCACAAGTTTCCATACCACAAAGGGATGGTTAGGATTGGCTTTGGGGGGTTATGGCTCAAACCGTTTTGGAATTAGGGGCAAAAAAGGGGGAAAAACAAGGGTTTCCTGGTTGATGGACATTTTAAAAGTAGTGTAAGGGAGGTAATCCAAAAACAAAATTGTAGAATGTTGTACAATGTTGGATTACCTCCCTTACACTGCTTTTAAATTATCTATTTAAGACTTTTATGATGTATTTAAATGGGTAATTATGGTTGAAAACTCCATTGGTAATTTGAATTGAGATTATGACCATATCTTGAGGGAAAGATTTTTTTTTTGAAAAAGGGGGGGGGGGGGGGGCAATTTTTTTCCCAATTCAGATTTCAGAAATTAAACAAGATATTTTTTTTTGGGGGGGGGGGATGGGTCAATATGCAACAGCATAGTGTATTGCACAAAAGCAAAAAATTGAATATAAATTCAAATCATATAACCAATTCTAAGTTCTTTGACTACAGTTATTCTGTGTCAGAAACCTATTATGTGTCAAATATTTTTAAATTACGATCCAAATTCAGACCTGTATCAAGCTCGAATATTGTGTCCATTTTTGCCCCAACTGTTTTTTAAAGTTATGGTCTATGTATTCTCTTATGTGTGCTACATCATTATCAAACTTTTATGCCAGTTTGTGTACACAAATTTGATAAGACACACACCACTGTTTTTTGGCCGCCATTACTTTCTATGTTAAACTCTATATCAATTTCAAGCATTTATGGAGGTGGGGTCAATATATAGTTATTTACATATCAGAGCGTACTGGTTTTACGGAATAGGTACTTCATATCTGAGAAACAGGCAATACCCAATATATGCCCTCTTTTTTAGATTTAATTCATACAATTTTTTATTATATATTCTGAGTCAAATTATCAGTCAAAAGGTGTTTTACAAGGATCACCAGTTCTTCACCTTTCGTTTGATACCTAAATTACCAATATATATTCTACATAGTTTGACATCTACACTTATGCGAAGGAACTATTTTATTTTAAATCTGCCCGAGTTGGTGATGTTACATCTTATTAAGTCTTCCAGAAATATTTGCCTTATACATATGTTATTTCCTGCCAAATTATCTAACATATATATATTGGTTGTCCAAATTTTTGTATTGTTTTTGCACTCTTCAATGTGATTGTCAGGATAAATTATGACAGTAATGTATGATTTCCTGCCAGATTTACTTTATTGATATTGAAGGCCTCACTGTGACTTTTGGATGAAGAACAGCACTAAAAGTGCTGTTCCTTTTTAGCTCACCTGACCTGAAAGGTCAAGTGAGCTTTTCTCATCACTTTGCGTCCGTCGTCCGTCGTCCTGCGTCCGTCGTCCGTCGTCCGTAAACTTTTACAAAAATCTTCTCCTCTGAAACTACTGGGCCAAATTTAACCAAACTTGGCCACAATCATCATTGGGGTATCTAGTTTAAAAAATGTGTGGCGTGACCCGGCCAACCAACCAAGATGGCCGCCACGGCTAAAAAGAGAACATAGGGGTAAAATGCAGTTTTTAGCTTATAACTCAAAAACCAAAGCATTAAGAGCAAATCTGACATGGGGTAAAATTGTTCATCAGGTCAAGATCTATCTGCCCTGAAATTTTCAGATGAATCGGACAACCCGTTATTGGGTTGCTGCCCCTGAATTGGTAATTTTAAGGAAATTTTGCTGTTTTTGGTTATTATCTTGAATATTATTATAGATAGAGATTAACTGTAAACAGCAATAATGTTCAGCAAAGTAAGATTTACAAATAAGTCAATATAACCGAAATGGTCAGTTGACCCCTTTAGGAGTAATTGCCCTTTATAGTCAATTTTTAACCATTTTTCGTAAATCTTAGTAATCTTTTACAAAAATCTTCTCCTCTGAAACAACTGGGCCAAATTTAACCAAACTTGGCCACAATCATCATTGGGGTATCTAGTTTAAAAAATGTGTGGCGTGACCCGGCCAACCAACCAAGATGGCCGCCACAGCTAAAAATAAAACATAGGGGTAAAATGCAGTTTTTGGCTTATAACTCAAAAACCAAAGCATTTAGAGCAAATCTGACATGAAGTAAAATTGTTCATCAGGTCAAGATCTATCTGCCCTGAAATTTTCAGATGAATCGAACAACCTGTTGTTGGGTTGCTGCCCCTGAATTGGTAATTTTAAGGAAATTTTGCTGTTTTTGGTTATTATCTTGAATATTATTATAGATAGAGATAAACTGTAAACAGCAATAATGTTCAGCAAA